ACCTAGTTCCGTGTAGGCCTTCAAAGAGTCATGACAACTAATGAAAAAGGATCTACGATGCTGGTGCTGACAAGGAGTGCAGCTGGACCTGGTGCCTAAAAAAATACAAAAGGTTCTAAAGCATGAAGACAAAATGAAGGGTGCATCGGTGCATGGTTGAGGACAGCTCAGGAGAGCACAGAGTAGGGTCATAGTTTGTGGAGAAGCATGGATAGGAAAGGAGCCTGTGAATGTGAGATGATAAATATTAGTAAAGGCAGACTGGAACAGGGATGGTGATGGTTGCTTACAAGGTATGATAATGATAAGTATAAACCTGTGACAGTTGCAAAGATGTTAATTAGGCATAATGCATGCCTTTAAAGGGAATACAGACAGCCAAACTGCCACCATTTTTTATGACTTAAGCTTTGAGATAACATAAGTTGCTAGAATGGCCTCGATATTAGGTAGAATTTAGGCAGAGTGAGCCAAGGATCTCCATCTGCTTTTTTTTCTGAGTAAAATTCAAGCATCCTCTATATCATATGAATGGCTGAATGATAGACAGGTTGCATGAAGCAAGATAGTCTCTTAAAAGACTGAGGAACCAGGCAGCTGTAATGGGTGCACCCTCAGCAGTGGCAAAAAAACTTAAAGAGAACTGAGCTTGAGAGCATCTGGACTCCGATTAAGGGAACGAAAGAGGCATAGCCTAAAGCCATTTGCCTTGATAGAACCCTCCCCAAAAAAACCAGAGGGAAGAACTGCAACTTAGGAATGAATGAGTCAGCAGAGTGAATTATGTCATGCACTGAAATCATTAAGTAAAGTACCAACAGCTGTGGATACCGAAATTGCTAGAAAATGCGGTCAAATGAACAGAATATAACAAAAGCATACCCGCAACATTTAGTTTCACAGTGGAGTGACATTTTTAATGGAAATTACAATAGAACCCTTTTTTATATTTCAATATTCCTTTGGGTCCCAATCAGAATGAATTATAATGGCCTAGTTTTGAAAATTAAAAGAACAATATGGTTATTCAACATAATACATGTCCAAAGTGAAAGATATGGCAGAGATCCTGTTTTCTGCAGTATCGAACATCAAAGGTAAAACATTAGTTTTTAGGTTATACATTTTAGGTCAAATATTAGAATGAGTATAGGCAACTTGAAAATACTGCAGACGGGAATGATATGACATTTTTTTGATCACTCTGGCTTGGCAATTAAGGTTCTGAACTGGAATGAAAAGCAGTGGGAGATGAGACGATAGGCAGGGAAAAGTATGGGTAAAGGATTTTCCACTGTTCTGTAAATATTGTACTTCTACAGGCATGCGCTGATCTGCATGCTAGCTGTAACGCTTTCTGTGTGGCAGCAACCCCGCTACAACTGCCACCTATTGGGCTGGAGTGAGAAAGTCAGTGACTTACTAATGATGTAATGTGACCAGAAATAAGAGCCCCAACGCTCTGATAAATCATGCAGAAAATGTGATTAAATGCCAAGCCCTAGGGAAGAGAAGGAAAGAAAGTTCTTTGACTACTGACAGAAGAATCGATGGAATAAGGATGGCTTGGGTTAACAAATGAGAAATCTCTATATTCAAATTCAAATGAATGCATGATAGTGTGAGGACAACAGTGACTTTCACATAGAAGACTTGAGATGGGCATAGAAAATAGAACTCCATACGAGATGTGAAAGATGCCACACTGAAGGACTTTTTTCCCGTTTCCTCTAAGCAGTAAAAAAAAGATTGTTAAAGAGTCAAGAAATTGGAATGGATGGTGTCTGAGTTCATCACCCCACAGTGAGTAGGTCCCAGATGAGCCTCTTCCAGAAATGTTCGCAAGATTATAGCAACAGATGAAACCAGAAATATTAATTAGACCTCACCTAGCCTCTCTTACATTGAACTAATAAAACTAGTAAATGGACCCAAACTAAATATATGCAAATTATTATTATTATTATTATTATTATCTTTTTTTTTAAAAACAAAGTCTTATAGTCATTTTGGCAATGTATTGAGATCCAGGTAAGAGCCCAAAACTTAAAAGCTTAATGAATGACAGCTTAATAGATTAATTTCATTGAGCAAAGGAAAATGCAGGAATAGCTGAATGGATAAATGCTGTTGAGAAGAAGTAGAAAAATGTGAATGGAAACTCTCATTTCAAGAGTAGCCAGTGGTGATTTTGAAGAGGTTGAGCCAGGTGACCGGAGCCAGAAAAAATGTGAATGAGGCAATGGTAGAGTGTAAGGCAATGGAAGAGTGTGAAGAACCTAAAGTCAGCTGATATGGTAAATGGTAAATGGCCTG